TCACTCAACACACTCTATCGAAATCCACGTGCCACCAACTTATTTGTTGTAATTTGGGGGCTTTGGACAGTCTGGAACTTGGCTTGTTGGAGTAATAATCGAGGAGTTTTTTTGTACAGTTTATTTACATATATTTACAAGTGTTTCAACATCCAAACTTCTTCTTATTAACATCTTTTCTATACAATACTTTTATAACGGAAATGCTCATTCTTTACATGATGATTACTTTTCAATGACTTGTTATTAATAACTACTAACAACGAACGACCAATAACAATCGACTATTAATAATTCGACCAATAATATTAACCTTCTACATAACCATACATATTCTATTTTTTACATAGACATAACACAACTAACGCCATCTCTATAAGAAGAGCATTAGGTACCAGTATTCTATACTCGGTTTAGGGATTTAAGATCTATACTCACAACATTATTCTTTTTCACCAGAACACCATTGACTTCTTTTTCTTCAAACACCCACTTTACTTGGAGTCGATTATTTCTATGTCCTTAGAAACTTTCACAAGTGTCCACGTTCAGTTCCTCTTCTACGGCTTTTCTCCTTTCGCTGTCTTTCACTGCATCTTTATAATTCTGTGGAATTTCTGATGGAAAATTCCCTGCAGATAGTGCTGTCATAAGGTTTGCATTTCTGCGATCCTCTTCAGGAATCATTTTGTGAGCTTCGCAACCAAACAACTTTATCCTGTCCATGTTTGGTTGATATGCATACCATACTTCAGCAGACAGTTTCTGATTGGCCAGGGTTGAAGTTTCTGTTCTGTTCAATAAGAAAACTGAGATCAAAACAGCCTCATCTCACATTTCTTTGCCTTATTTAGAATCAATTAGAAGACATCGGGCCTTTTCCATTATTGTCCGATTTAGCCTCGCAGCTATCTCATTTTGTTCTGGACTTCTTGGAACAGTGTACCGCGAATGAATTCCTTCATTGTTCCACAAGTCTTTTAATTTTTGAGAAACATATTCGCCACCATTATCCAACCTTATTCTGTCTATTTTATTATTAAATTTTGCTTTGACTCGCCTTATATATTCTGTTAAGGCCGCGTTAATGGCCGCCATGTTTAAATTTAGTTTTTCAAAATGACGACTGCGTCACTCTACACATAGGGTTCAATATTTTATTATTTGTCCAAAACAAAAGGCATTTTTTAGCGAGATCCCAGTAATAACCGTTTATAACCCGTGCGGTTATACACGGTAACACTCCCACTTCAAAAATATATCCCTACCATTGGCAGATTTCTAGGATTAAACCGCTTCTCGCTAAAACGGAACGGTTATCAAAATTTTACAGTAAGGTAAGGTTAGTTCATATTTTGTGGTGAACATAAAAGAAATGGAGTCAATAATTAAGTCCTTATTACTTATTGACGATATTATGTTTGGAAACATCCTGTATATTCTAATTTCCAAGTCTTATCGAATCAAGCATAGTGGTCCCTTGAAATATATATTGCGAGAAAATCATGAGAGACAGCTTATAGACCATAATGCGAGATCTGCCATTTTTTGATATCCTCCAAAAACAAAAAAACCTCAGAAAAAACTCACTTTTACAGATCAAAACAATCACAAATAAATCTAAGGTTAGAATTTTTCAGTTACTCAACTCTCGACTTGGGTATCAAAAACAATAACCGTGTTATAGAATGATGACGTTACTTTATGACAGCAAAACACCTTCCCCTATTACCGTTTTCTCGCAAAAACGGATCGGTTATTGATTTCCTGTAACCGCTTGTAACACGGGAACTAACGGGAACTCGCTAAAAAATGCCTAAAATCTGTTTGTCGGTGAAACACCTAGTGACAGAGAAAGACAAATATGCAATTATGATGCTCCCAATGTAGCTTTTTTGCCGTGGCGCCATCTACTTGAAATTGCTTGAATTGTTTTCACCTTCAAAATTCGTTTTAAGGTCATCTCAAAAAAACCGCAATAATTTCCATTATTTGATATATTATCTTCAATCTCTACAATTAGCTCTTCTTAGTTTTTCGTGGTTATCAATAAAATATGCTTTTCACGGATCCAAGCTTGATAAACATGCAAATATGCAACCACCAACACATTTAATTGTTTTGGTGGTTGCGAACATGATTTTTGAATTTAAAAAAAAAGCTGAATATCGAAAAACCAAAATGAGGAATTGTAGATAATCGATCAAATAATGTTTATGCCAAATTTGAGCCAGTTCTGATGTGCCGTTTTTTTAAAGACCTTAAAACAAGTTTCGAAAAATCAACCAATCACGGTTTAAATATGGCGGCCATTAACGCGGCCTTAACGTCTCTGTAACTTGGCTCTTGTTTTTCAGGAGATAACAAACGCAAAAGTGTGAATAAGTGTGTGTCTTAAAAAACAGCCTTATTTGTTTACTTTCTAAACAAGTTTCACAAATTTCAGGTGAGGGATATTTACTAGAATGACCCATTTTTCTGTGCATCAACAATTCACTTTCATTTACAGTTAGGTTCACAATTGATGTCTTGGGTTCTGGAGACATTTGAAAATCTACTATCATATAAATTCCCATGTCTTTTTCCTTGTAGAACTATCTTGTTTTTCTTCCATACAATTACTTCTCCATTTCCAAATACAACTCTCAACTCTCATCCCAGCTTCTTCCAGTTTTCTGACGGACAATAATTGTGTGATAAATCAGGCATGTATTTGTGCTTGACATACAAATCGCCATCTTTTATTAGTGATAGATTTTGCCCCTCTTTAGCACTGCTAATCTCATCATGGTTTTTGTTTTTTCCATTGATTACATTAACTTGAAGACATTTTCCATCAAAAACGTCGAGCCAACAACCAACAACCGCGTTGCCTTTTTCTACTTGGAGCGAACTGCACTTATAAACTATTTATAAAACAACACAGAAATGTTCTTCAAGATTTACTTCCTTACAGCTCGAGCCTTAATTATTATTGCCTCTTCTTCTGGATCTTCAAAGATATTTTCATGAGGTTTGACATCAGGCCGGATTATTCGAAGTAGCTTCACCTGAAACATTATCAAAATATCGATGTCGTTTCTTGTTTCATGTCAGACCACAAAAGTATTGCCATGGAGTCGAAGAAGTTGTTGTGAACTAGTGAATTCATTATTACTTATATTATCAATAATCCTAATGTTCACTACATTTTCTCTTCTCAAGTTCCACCATCTGTGTAACTAAGTCCCAAGTTTTATTATGACAATACTTTATGCTGTTAGGGTTCAAAGACGATGCCGGCTAGAATTATTATATAACCAATGTCCCGTTCACATCAATTTCTCGAAAGTCAGTACTTCTATTGCAAAAACCCCAATTGTTGTGAATATGAAAACTAAGTCAAATACAGCCCATGGGAAGTACTCTTGCCGCCAAAGACATAGTACCTTCCCAGGCCTTTTTTATAATACAGATGGCGAGAATTACAACCCCTAGGCTAATTTTAGGTTAATGATTGTACAAACGTTTCGTAACATTTTAGCACCTAAATAAAATATGTTGTTAGGCTAAGTTAATTTTAGGAAATTGTAAAATACCCTTCTTTAGGGAGGTCCAAACTTGCCTTACTTGGTGGAAGATATTTGAAGGCAAAGTATTCAGATACCGAGCTTCACTCTGAACAGTCGAGTTGCCTCTCAACATTCTCAACTAAGTGTCCCCCTCTCAACGAGAATTTTAATAAATGAAACATTTTTATACATTACCGAGTTTTAATTATCGAAGTACGAGATTGGAACGAGCGGAAAACTCCAGGTACTCAACATTCGTGGCATCGGTCAACTCCCGATTTCCAACAAAGTGTTCAAATTGATGGTGTGTATAAATAATACAAGTAGGGATTATGGAGCAACTACAATTTTTGGACTAAAGTCTCTTACATCAAGTTCGTTGATAAATGAAGGATCTCACTGCGTCAGCAAATTGCGTCAGTTTATCGGTATTTTATCGTGCCATTTAGCGTATTTAAGATTGTTTATGAGTAATATATTTCCTCTCTGAACTCCCTTGACCCGCTAAAGTTTACTGACACCCATAAAACTGGGTAATAAACATACAATGAAACATTTCTAAAATAAAATACGTTTTACCGCTAATTACGGAAAAGTTTCCTGTACTTAGTTGCGGGTAATTTTCCAGTTTATTTATTTGTCGCAGCCCAACCTCTAAAATAATAAATAATATCTTTCCGCATTTATAAAGAAATTTAATTATTTTCAAACTAACCTACCACACCTTTCAATGACAACAATGTAACCCAATTAAATAATTATTGTATTACTTAGGTAAAACGCCAACCTTCCATTAAAAGCCATTCGAATTTTAAAAAAATTATCATTATAAAGTGCTAATTTAACGTTTACAGTTATTGGTTTACCTATTTTTCAAATTATTTTTATTGTGCCATTATTTGTTTTCCAGTAAGGATATTTTTGTGCAATTGATTGATTGACATTTGCACAATTATTGTTTTTATGAAATAATAAGTGCAACCAATTACACACTTCTAAGTAAAATTGCAGCAATAATTTGTTGCAATTATAGAAATATGTACATGTTGAATTTTTACTTTGAAAACATTGTATTATATAGCTAAATCCATCATGGAAACTCATTGATCTCAAATTATTACTGGGTCACCAGACACTACAACATCCTTACGTAATCCGCTGTTTCTATATTTTTGTTTATAATACCGTCTATATGGGTTTGCCATTCAAATTATGCGGTAAAAAGTTACCATCAATGGTTTTGAGTTCGAAGACCGCTCCCCCCTAAGAAAACACGTTCCCAGCCAAGGTTGTCTGTTATATTATTTTATGGTTTTGTTTTGGTACATATGCGGCTTATGTTTGAAATATTGATTAAATTGTTTTTTTTTTTAAATAAATCTTGGACTTTGAGTCAAATGTTCCTATTTATAGACGATGTCAGCTTTAAACGAAACATTTTTGTTTCAGGTACGAGTGTCCGAACGCAAACTGCACTAGAAGTATGTTCACGCCGGAGCAATGCCAAAACGGAGAGTACTGCGCAGTACTGGTCACCTCGGAATGGAACGCAATGAAATTCGTGCTGACGCACATCCGCGAGAATCGCCTGCTGGTCAAAGTACTTTTTTTGGGCGACAATTTAGCAGCTGCCGTTAAGTACCTCGAGTACGTTTACCGGGGCAGGACTGATCAAAGTTTGGTAAGAACTTGGTTAACTATAATGGCGGTGGTTAGGAAAAATATTGAAAAAGTATTGGCTACTTATTTATGAAGTTGTTGTAATTACTCATACTTACTGGAAGATTCTTCAGAACTGCTCATTGTATGTGGATGTATTCTACCTACGCCAATGTCTTTTAGGCTCCACCCACTCCAAGAACTTCCCTAATGGATTGGTGGATGTGCAATGAGGTGAAGCCCAAAACACAAAGGCGTAGGTTAGGAATAAAGTTAAATATTTTCTGTATTATTGCATCAAAGTTGAATTTGAAAACCCTTTCCTTAGGTAATTTTGTATTAGAATGTATGGTATATATTTCTTTTCAACATGACACATTTTTAGGACTATGAACTATATGCAAAGTAACTTTTGTGTGATTTTTAGTAAATGAAGTATGCGTCTAAAATACAATTCCCGGAAAATTTCGCATTTATTCACGATTTTTTACTATGGAACATAATTAATTCACTTAGTCGTCCACTAATATCACTTTAATTAGGTTTCAAATTGAATAAAATATATCATTTTGGCCTCTCTCTTCTGAGCCATTTATAGATGCTGTTTCTCCATGTAACAAATTATCTAAAAAAAATAATTTTTCTGATGTTATGAGCAACTTCCGAAAGTTACTCGTTTTGGTAAAATTGCTTTTCTATTTTGCGGCGTTACATAAACTGTAGAGGTAATTAATTATTAACAAGTATTTTTATCGATTCCGCATTTATGTGTCCGAAATTCCTATTTACTTGAGATTTGTGTACTTTTGTTCCCAAATTTTATTTCGAAGACGTTAATAATGAAAAAAATTTATCTACACCAGTGTCTTTTAGGCTCCACCCACTTCCAAAATTTACCTATTGGGTGCGCAATGGGGTGAAGGAGAGGCTGATTCTTCGACCTCGTAGCACAATCTACAGATAGGTTCATCTTAATGGATTCCCATCTAGTGTAGATGTGTCCTCAGTGTACAGTGACCGGTTAAAAGTCCCATCACAATTCTGATCTGGTTTGCTACATTTTTTTTCTGGTAGCAAAACGGAAATGACCGGAATGAGGGTGGTTACGCAAATGGGCTTAAGAAAAGGAACTTAGTTTCTACCTTATAGGGCTGAGAGTGCCAGCTAAACTCCAGTCGGGAGTGGTCGAGGGTTAAAACAGAAGAAAACTCTAGAAAATAGGTAAAATTTTGGACGCCACCCGTTTTATGGCCCTAAAGTAAGGTAGAACGTTAGCTGAAAAAAAAACATCTAAAACGGGAAACCTAAAGGATTTCACCCAATTTGGAAATCAAACTCTGTCGTAAATAATAAAGGGGCATTTTATTCAAGTTTGCCGAGATTCATTGTAAGTACTTGATTTAGATATTTTCAGGGTAATTAGTATTATCAAATCGGTATTATTCAAATCAATTTAAGTAAATTAGGTGGAATTGTTGAATACTCTCTAACTAAATAAAACAGAAACAAAAAGGTACCAACGCAACGTCCTTTGCATATATGCTTCGGCTAACACGGTTGAACTATCTATAAGGAAAATTAATAACTAATTACTTAATTAAGGTAAAATATATATAACTAATTACTTGATTTATTTGATTAAGATTCAAATATAGATGATTCATGTACTAGTGATTTGGCTTTTCAGGGTGTTTAGGTCGATTCCGCGTATGTACGAAGGGCTTTTCGAGCCTGGGACGGTTAAGATAAATTAGAACGAACCCACCTGGATATCCTGGAGTTGGTAGCGTCGGGTTATTTAGCTACGAGAGATATCAGGAAGGCGAGAAGGCGTGGGCTCACGCGTCGTGGAATTGTCGGCGTCGTGATTGCGTCACCGGACCAGAAGTTACGGGACATCGAATTCTCTCGAAATGGTATGCCAAACCAAACTTTGTCCAAACCATGGATTGGAAGTTTAGAGGGGGAATCAATAATGGAAGATAAAAACAACAGACAGGCCAGTGATTTCAGGCGGCCATTTTGTGTGTAAATCCAGTAAAAAAAAAGAACTCAAGGAATTTAAGTTTTAAACCCGAAACTTTGAGTAAATCAGCAAAAAGAATTGCTCGGGGTGCTAAAATAGTGAAATTAGCCACCCACAATCAAAATTCGGAATAAATTCCAACGTAAATCGGCAAAACGCCTGAGAGTACCGTACCTCAAATAACGCACACTGCAAAGGAGGCTACAGTACTGACTGCTTGAGGAATGAACATCGTAGTATTCACCTTTTTTTCTTTTTTTCTGTAATACAATTAGTTAGGTACCCCAAAAGTGTTGATTTTGGCTTGACCGTACGGACTGGTATTTTTGGTTTATTTATAGGATGGACAAAATAATTTTAAATAGCATTTAAACATTTCATTAGAATTATAATATATTTCCTAAAGAAAATTAAATTAGATATTTTCTTGGCAAATAGACCCGTAACAGGTTCCTGGTGAGCTTTAGGATCTCAGAGGCTATCCTTGTCGTAGGATAGTTCACCATTGCCTTACTGTGGTGTTGCTTCGGTATTTGATACCAGTGGTTTTTGTGTTCTTCTCAGATCCTCTTGTTCATGCAGCCACGTTTTTGATATTCCCAATGCGGGTTCAGGACTGGGATCACGACAAGTAGAATTCTACTATAATCCTACTTTCATGATGTCAGGTTGCCTAGCAACGCCTGTACTGTACGAGATAAATGGGTCGCAGGTGACGTCATGGAAGTAGAATTCTACTTGTCGTGATCCCAGCGCAGGGCCCATAAACTGCCTTTCTGATCCTTGCCTGGCTAAGGAGTCCGCGTTTTTATTGCCAGCTTTAATAGCTGCTTGGCTGTCTGAGAAGATAGTGATATCCTTATGCACATATCCTTTTCTCAGATTTTCCCGCAGGCATATCTCTATATCTGCTTGGAATAAGGTGTTTTTCCCTATTGGAGAATACCATTTTAATCTTGGGGATAGGCCATATACTCCGGCATCGGTTCCACTGTCAGTTTTGCAGTCATCAGTGGGACAGTGTAACTATACTAACTTTCCATTCTGAACTAGTGAGTTTTCTGTTTTGTTTTCCTAGTTAATCTGGGTTTGAAACGGTTTGTGAGTATTTATTTTCGGGGTCATGATGTCACTTTTCATCTCAAATAGTAAGTTTGTAACGATGTTTGATATCCTGGTATGTTCGGATGTTCTTCTCGGATTCCAGTTCTGTCTGCAATTGACTCTGTAAGCCCCCATTCTTTCCGCAGCTTTGATAATGATATCAACTGGCGGAAGGTTTAGTATGATTTCCATAGCAGCAGTTGCAGTGCTTCTCATTGTAGGTACCCATCATGCAGAGACAAGCCAGTCTTTGTAGTTTGGATAGCTCCATTTTTGCTTTGCTCTGTTCGACTTTCGGCCAGGAGACCACTGGCGCCGACTACATGGGGGCATCGGGGCAGGTGCACCCATGAACAACCTCTCATGGGTGCGGAGCACCCATGGGAGCTCTTATAGGGGATGCGGAAGTACAAACATGTTTAATGGTCATTCCGTTCCATGTGACAGTATCAGTATCTTGTAATTTAAATTTACAAAACTTTGTATAAGAATTAAGAATTATACAAGTGGTATTAGTATTCTGTCCTTTCGTTATTTGTGGTCAATCCTCTATTATAATATGTTGCTATTCTGTATCTCTAATCTTTGATAATAAATAATCGTGACAGTCCGGCCCACAACGAGAAGTCTGGCGCTTGCGCCGTATGCCATATAATTTAGTTTTGCGCGTGGGTGGGGATGGCAATTAAATCAATGTTTCGTAAATATTAAAACATTAGGCAATTTTTCGCGAGGATCATCAAACATAATCTGATTATGCACAGATGTTATGTGTAAATTGTGTCATACTCCCCTAACTCCCTCTTCAGTCTCCATCCAATTCTTGGCCTACGAGTGACGTCACTATCAGCAGCTTATAGTGATGATGTCACCCGCAGACCTCAATGGAATTCTTGCGATTCAGGCTGTCCTAGTGAGTTGATTTTTCCGTCGATTTTGGATGTAGAAAAGGTGATTTTCAGTCTGTTCTTACAGAAGAAGTTAAGTGTTCTTGATCCTCGAGTATCCCACAGTTTGATGATGGAGGAGTTAGGAGAGTATGACACAATTGACGCATAATATCTGAGCATAATCGAGTATGAGTATGCTTGGTTATCCTCGCGAAAAATTGCCTATTACTCAAATATATCGATATATTTTAATCGAAATTCTACATTCGATATATCGAAAAAATATCGATATCATCTTTTCTATATGTCGGAACTTTTATAATATTGAATAATGGGTACGTTCACCAGTACTCAACTGCTAACATGCAGCGAAAAGCAGTTGAGGACAGTTGAGATACAGCGGATGTAAATTTCCTGAACGCCCGACACTTCTGCGCATGTCTAAAGCATAAGTTGAGTTAGTAAGTGTATATTTTTACCGCTTAGAGAAATCGGCAGCAGCCGACAAAATGCGGATTTTGCTGAGTGCCGCTGAACGCGATTGATGTTTACCCAACTACTCAACTGTTGGCAACAGTTGAGTGCTGGTGAACGAACCCATTTTGCCTTTGCTCGTGCGCATAGTTCATTGGTTGACAGTGACAGTCTGACAGACAGAGGCGGCTAAAATAGAACAAAACGTGAGTTAGGGCGTGTGCGTAGCAATTAAATGAGTTTTTTTTAGGACCGTGCGTAAAAGTACTTTTCCGCACGTATTCTAGAACATGAAAGTACCAAAGTGACTTACCATCGCATAATCATTATACTTTTCCGTACTAGTGTGGAAAATTGATATTTCCTAGACCTAAAATGCGTGCAGAAAAAAGCACCTCTCGCACGCTTGTAGAAAAAAAAATTCGCCTCCAGCGGCGCCTGCGGCGAACTTCCCCCTCCTTCTATAAACAAATTTATAAAATTATTATCCTGCACCCAAAAGTCGGCGCCTGTGCAGGAGACTATTGA